TATAGTCCTGCAGTATGTGGGTTTACCATTTCCATTGTGACGAAAAATCAAATCGTATCCATTCACATCGCGCAACTTATTTGGAAACCAAAGACTTTCAGATGATGCAATTTGTTTAGAATAATTCTTAGTGAAAGGATTAAATTGACTCAAAGAAAGATTATCATCTGGATATTTTTTTAGCACTGCTTGACATTGGTTACTGTATGTCAAGAAAGTCATATCCAAGATTGCATGTTTTTCCCAGAAATGTTGAAGACTTTCATAAAAATCCTCTTTAGCTGAACAAAAAGAATTGACGACTAAAACTCTTGGGTTTGATAACAATTGAGGGATCATTTCTAAAATATTCACGAAATTGTCAATTTCCTTTACAGAAGTTTCGTCTGTTCGCTGAAAAACAAACAGTGTTGTCCTTCTGAAATGCTTTGATATAGACTTATCCATTTTGTAAAGATAATTCATGTTGTCACTATCAATATTAATGAAGCTTAAAGATGGAAAATGTGAATTGACCTCTTTCATAAGAGAATTCATAATACGATTGTTCTGTTTATCTTTAAGCATGAATATTACTTGATGCAGTTTAGACTCCTCTTTCAGATATTTTATCAACCCATCGTAGTGATTATTTACTGAAGACAATCCTAAGATTTCTTTGGAAAATATGTAACTAATAAAATACACGCTCAGAAACTTCATTGTGCACATCCACTTTGTTATCAACTAACAAAAATTATTTTTGATAATGTTGAAGCAAAGCGAGATTTTTTCAAACTATTTACTTTGATTGACAATGAAGAGGGATCAAAATTTATATATGTATTCACATATTTATTTAAATATTTTTTTGTTTCTTTTAGTGCCTGTCTGAACTATTAAACTCAAGAACCTTGTATATACTGTCTGTCGATTTGTTGCTTTAATGATAAAGAACGATATTTATCAAAAATACCTCTCAAAAATTTCCATAAAAGCCAAATATTTTGTTCTATGAAAAAAATATAATTGTATGAATAGTTATATTGTATAAATTCGGAGTTTTTTTCGATTTTAGATTATTATCAGAATAAAGTATAGGGGAACTACAAATATCCTTGTTTCTTGTTTAAATAAAGAATGAAATAAACAGTGTCTCAAAGCCCTTCAAGTTTTTTATGAATTTAATATGAAAAAAATATTTTTTCATTAACGTGTTATAAAATCTAGAGAAAACAATATTTTTTATTCATAATTTCTTATCAGAAAAATATTGTTTATTCAGCAAATTTTTAATATTGTTTACAAATCTGTTAAAACGCCCCATTAAAAGGTTCAACTCCTTCATGAGCTGAAATGGTATTTCTATACCTTTCGAAACATATTCAATTTTGTTTAATTAAAAAGTATGGAAACGGTCAAATATTTTTAAAAAATGCATTTTCGGAATGAAAATGAATGATACAAAAGTTTTTCCGAATAAAGAGAATTACATTCTCAATGTAAGGCGCCACAGTAAAAACAAGTTGTAAATTCAGATGTTCATTACATGAACATTTTGCTTCCTCTTTACGATCAGCAAAAAAATTTGCTTCCTCGTGGAGAAAGCTAAATTTTATTGCCAAAACGTGATTTTGATTTTTTAACTTTCATTAATTCTTTAAATTTACCTCAAATGTATACTTTATATATATATCGATCGATTCGTCTTGACGTAAGTAATACAATTATTTCATATATAAACTTCAATTTAAAAAAACACAAAATTTTATAGCCAAAATGTGAATTTTTGATTTTCTAACTTTCATTAATTCTTTAAATTTACCTCAAATGTATACTTTATATATATCAATCGATTCGTCTTGACGTAAGGAATACGATTTTATTATATGTAACTTTAAATTTTTCTATTTAAAAATTTTTTCGATTAAAAAAAATTTTTGGAAAAAAGACGATAAAATTTTTTTTTTTGGGTTATTTTTCAAAATCCTTTGGTCAGATTTGATATATTAATATGATAAATGAGCCTACTAAATTTTATCTAAATCCATTAAAACCTGTTAAAGTTATCTTCTAAACAAGAAAAGGATCCACACACACACACATACATCCGGACAATTGATCAGGATCTCATATAACATGTTTCTATAAAGAAAAAAATTTGTTTCCGCCACTTTGAAAAGTTTTATAAACGAAAGGACTACAAAGCTTCCTCCACGAGGAAGCAAAAAAAGTATTTTCTTAAAATGAAAAAAGACAAAAAAAGTGTGTTTATACACGGAGAGAAAAAACGAGCCTTTACTGCACGGAGAGAAAAAACGAGCCTTTACAGCATGGACCTATGTATGCTCTCTTCGTACGCGCCTCTATCGTCCATCTTCGGTACCATCTCTTGCTGTAGTAGCTCGGCTCCTTACTATTTTAGTACGGGCAAGTGAAAATATAGTATAAGGTCGTACCGAAGATGGACGGTAGAGGCGCGTACGAAGAGAGCATATATAGGTCCATGCTGTAAAGGCTCGTTTTTTCTCTCCGTGTGCATGGACGCATGTATGCTCTCTTCGTACGTGCCTCTATCGTCCATCTTCGGTACCATCTCTTGCTGTAATAGCTCGGCATGTAGAATAGACAACAGGAGACCAATGTAGTGTATAAGAAAATAGCCATTTTTCTTCGGAAGCTGTTAGTTCCGAAACTTCTCGCGCGCCGCGTTGAAAACAGATAGATACCATAAGTTCTAAAATTCACATGTGCTTCTTGGTTAACAGCATACATCGTGATATATAGTTTTCCAGCAGAAGCATATTTTTTCTGTGAAAAATATAAAATAAATTTATAAATAAATAATGTATGAGGTAAGTTTAAAATTCGCCAAAGTAAAAATTTTTTAGATTAAATTATGTATTTAAATTTTTAAAAAAAATTTTTTATTTTTATACTGTAATATAATGAAAAATACCTATATTTTATTATTTAAAATTAAATATAAGTTACCGTTATTATTTAAATTATGATTAAAATTTTTGCGAGTTTATAAGGTTTGTTAATTTTTGAAATATTATTTAATATTGTATTTATTATATTATTTAATTTAATTAATTATTTAATTAAAGTTATGTCAAAAATCTTTTTTTTTTAAAACTAAATTTATTATGAGAAAACTTTTTAACTATAAATGTATTTAAAATTATATTAAAATTTTACATTTCCAAATAAAAATTAATTTTATTAATACAAATAAATTTTTTTTATTTTGTAAATACTTTAGTATTTGCAGCGGCAAACGCAAAATACTAAACACGGCCTTCGGCCGCGTAAGGTACTGCTCGCTTTTCTTTTTAAAAAAACCTTGGCGAGAGGGGGTGGATATGGCCGAAAGTATTTTTCGTAATCAGCGCACAAAAATACGTAAATATACTGAGTTTCATTAAAATCCAAGGAGGCCCTTATTCGGAACTGATGCACCCAAAATAAATATTAAATTTTTAATTTGCCCACTGATAAATCAAACTTAAATTCAAAATCAACATTTTTCAATCACATAAAAAAAAATTTACTTGTTTCAATAGATTGAAAAGAAAAAAAATTTTCAGTTTAAAAATATTAAAATATTTATTAATTAATTTTATTTATGCTTCAATAACTCTAACAATCGTAGTCAATTTATATTAATGATTTCTCAATGGGTACATCTTTTCATTATTTCATATATTTATAAAATAACAACAAATAAATAATTATTATTATCTTATTTATAAAAAATAATTGCCTTCACTTACCAATATTAGTCTATTTTTATTATCCAGCATAAAAATATACCTAAATTCAGGTTATGTTTTTCAAAACAATATGACAGCGAACAGACCAAAACAGATATTTCTTGATATGTGTACGTTGATGGTATCTATCTGTTTTTTTCGCCACCTATGGACAAACTGACTACTTGTCTTAGCTTACGACGAATCTTGACACCATTTTAGTGAAGTAAATTCATGGGAGATTTGTCTCCTGTAATCTATTCTCCATGTAGCTCGGCTTCTTACTATTTTAGTATGGACACGTGAAAATATAGCATAAGCTCGTACCGAAGATGGACGGTAGAGGCGCGCACGAAGAAAGCATACATAGGTCCATGCTGTAAAGTCTCGTTTTTTCTCTCCGTGTATGCATCTAACTAAATAAATGACTAAAATATTGAGCCTTATATCTCAGGTATAAGTTCAAACTTCTTCTACAATTAAGTATATTCGTGAAAATCACTATTTGGTGGGTTTCTTAGGTAGTATATTAAGCAACAAGGATCAAAAGGAACCCTTTTTATACCCTAGGGCAAAAAAACACATGTTTGTGCCTAAGGGATAAAAAATATATAACTCCGATAGTGCCAGATAAATTCTAAAACAAATTCTTATTTAAATGTGCTGAAACTGAACTCTTTTTGAATCGCCGGATAGAACCGGGATAGAGATAGAAATATTTTTGTAAATTTAAATTAAAATTTCCTGATACCCAAATAAATACCGGATTGAGTCAAAGTTTATTTGTAATATAAATGGATTTTATAAGTTCAAATATGTATATTAAAAAATCTTTAATTTTAAATAATATTTTCATTTATTATAAATAAATAACGAAAAAACTATATAATACAGTATTCGATTTAATTAATTACATATAAAATGGTAAAGAAACACTTGTAACATTTCATTCTGTCTTTCAAACATGCACAAAAATTTACACAATTTTTTCAATTTTTAAAAATTAACACATTCAAATTATATATTTTAAGAGGTCGCAAAATTTTGGGTATGGCACCCGAACGCATAACAATAAATAACTGTTCATTATAAATTAATCAAATTAATATTATAAATAAAATAAATAGAAATTAAAATTTAGTCTTAACGATTCAATTTCATTTTTTTAGCTCAAAAAAACTATATTATTTTAAGAAAAAATAAATAAATAAGATTCTAACGTAACAATAATAATAATAATAATAATAATAATTAACTGAGGAATTTACACTTAAAATGTTACCTTATTATTTTATAATACATATACATATAATTATTCATTTTACAACAATGAAACTTTACAAACAAGCGTGACTAAGATCCAAGTTCTGGTCTAAAATCTTCCCACAAAAATTCCATTCATGAATATTACACGTGGTATAGATTTTAGATTACTGACAAAATGCGTATTCTTATAATTATATTGTTTACGGCTATTGTTTACAAATTTGAGCGTTTTTACATTAAAGGCAAAATTCGACTGATTAATGAAATTATGATAATTCATTTTTTATTGTATACCTGAAGCAATAATTCTATTCTTCACTGGAGAAAAAAATTTGATATTAATAATAAAACATTTTGTTGATGCTTTTGAAAACTTAAATTCTTGTCCGATTACACATTATTTAGACAAATATTTTTTAACTATTATTTTTTTCAAGTAAAAAAAATATTGTTTAAAAAAAAGTATTTTAAGCAAATCAATGTTTGAAAAAAAGAAGAAAGAAAATATTAACTTAAATGTTAAGTCAATTTTTTCTTAGAAATTTATTAGCTTAATTTTAAAACTATTATTAACATTAAATTAAAATATTTCTTAAATTTCAACATAAAACAAAAAAAAAAAGAATTTTGTTTCAACTAAAATTGACAACAAAATATTTTATTGTTAAAAGAAAATATTTTCCTTCAGTAGTTCTACTAAAAAAAAAAAAAAAAATTTTTGACATTTATACATCAATATTTTTGGATAAAAAAATGTGTATCTTTATTCTGTATTTATGTGACATGGATACGTTCTTAAGCAATCTCCAACGTCTTGTCCTAACCTCGCGGCACCAAGATAGCGATGAAACCTTTGACTGGAAACTGTGGCCGAATTTCCACGCTTCAGCTCTTGAGGATCCCTGTAAAAATGCAATTATACCGTAAATTTCAAAGAAAACATCAAAACAACAATAATTCACTAAACCAATTATTAATATTATTTCTTGATTTTTGAACGATATAATAAAAAAAAAGTTAAGGAAATATTATTCAATTCTAAAAAAGATTATATCAAAAATATGAAAAATTAATATTTAAAAAAATACCATCAATTATAGTAAAAGTATATACGTATAAAATATTTAATAGATAATACTTTATGTGCAATTAGATACATAAAATGCAAAGAAAGTCGTTATAGCAGGTAAAAGTTGACAATTCAGATAAAAACGAATGCTTTCTACTAATTGATCAAAATTATTCGTATTAATATTAAGGCTAATTTAATAACATTTGAATAAATTATTTTCGTTTATTTGCGTTTTCCAATAAAAATATAGGTATTTCCATAAGTATTTTCAATTTTTTTTTAATATTGAATTTATTTTATTATAAAATATTTTTTATCTAAACACAAAGAAATCGAATAAGAACAAATTAAAAACATTTGATTGAAAATAAAAAACAGACAATAAAAAATAAATTATAGATAAAAAATTTGTATAAACATAAAAAAATGAGGAAAAATTGAGCTATTTATCAATTCCTTTTTAAATGATAATTTTTACACTTTTTTTTTTAGATTGTCTTTCATTCGCATTAATGTAACAGTACTTACAAATGCATGGACTTGAATTCAAGCCAACAGTCTAAGAAAGCTGTGTATAAATATTTCATATTACACATTAAGTGTGGGTATAAAAATATTTCTTTGTCTGTAAAAGAATGATGTTATTATAAGAATGAAAGTAAGGCTGTTTTTAGACTTTAAATGCAGATTCCTCTCTCGGGTAAATTGAGAAGAGAAATTCGTTTTTACAGTTATACTTGAAAAGGAGACAAGTCAGGAGTTTAAGGCGTTTATGACGTATCTTTAAAATACCTAGAAAGTTGAATTTTTTACTAACGACCTTGAATTATTTGAGACACGTTCTATTCAGAAGAGAAAAAAATCATGTTTTTTTTGTGTCAATATTTGTTTATTTTTTACATCTTTTTTTTCTATAACGATATTTTTTGTATCTGTGCTACTTTAAAAGAAGAATATATTAAAAAAGTATTTAAAAAAAAATCAAAAATCTTTGTTTTTATGAGAAATATTCTTCTTATACCACATGCTTTTTATAAAGTAGGTAATCAAAAATTAATTTTCTATTAATTTTTTCTATTCTTTTAAATTAATAAGAAAATTTCTTTTTTTTCAATATTTTTTGATTCTCGATATTATTTGGTGTAAACATTATTTTTGTTAACAATAAACTGTTTGGTATCAAAATTGTTTTGAAAATGAATACATGTATATTTTTTTTGTGGACAATATTCTCTTTAGGTAACATTTTTTTTTTTATTTTTAATAATAATAATTGTTTGGTACAAGAATTATTTTCGTTATTAACTTTTTGGTACCAATATTTCATTTAATCAATATTATTTGGAAATTTTGATAATTTCTGCAAATATTTTTTATTTATGCCTTTATTATTTGTTTTCCTCACACTTTTGGCAAAATTCTTTTGGTACCATAATGTTAAACGTTAAGAAAATTATTTTCGTTAACAATAAATTTTTGATATTTGTTAATATAAATGCCACACGAATAAGTGCAGACAAACATTTGGTATTCTAAGTATTCTTTTGGTATCAACTTTTTTCTTTGTTAATCTTATGGTACTGGAATAATTTTCGTTACCAATGTTTAACCCCTTGACAATCGATGGCCCATATATGTCCAATAAAAGTGCTGCCACCTTTGTGAGTTTGGACATATATGTCCACAGAAAAAAAATACTAAACATAATTCGATTTGAGTGTCAATGGATATATGTACTAAAGTTTTCGGGGTCGCTGAATCCGAATTTGAGGTCAGATTTAAAAAATTCAAAATAGCGGACCCAATATGGCAGAAAAATTTTAATTTGATTCGATTCATTCAAAATTCGGTACTTTGGGGTTTTTAGGGTTACTGAATCCAAATTTGAGGTCAGATTTGAATTGAGCGACCCAAAAAACCCCCAAGTGCCGAATTTTGAACGAATCGAATCAATTTAAAATTTTTCCGCTATATTGGGTAGCCATATTGGGTCCGCCATTTTGAATTTTTAAAATCTGACCTTAAATTTGGATTTAGCGACCACAAAAACTTTTAATACAATGATATGATATTTTTTTTGGAAACTTTTTTTTGGACCGTTTTGGGTCCACAAACGATTTTTCTACTAGACTGCAAAGGGGTTAAGAATCAAAATTTCTTTCATTATTTTTGGTATTTGTACTTGTTTATTTAGCGGTATGTTGTTGGTACTTTGTTTTCATCTTTTGGTACAAAAATTACTTTTGATATCAATATTTTATTTTTCTTTACCGCAATTAGAGAATTATTTTTTTACTTCTATAATATTTTTGTCGCCAGAATTTTACTCATATATTTAGTTCTCATTATTCTTTTGGTATCAATCTTTTTTCAAACCAATCTTTAAACAAAAATTCTTTGAATACCAATACTTTTTTTGTATCAAAATGAATTTCTTTGACAATATTTTTGTATCAGAATTCATTTACCATGTATTTTATTACCACTATTTTTCATCATCAATATTCTATATGATTTGAAAAATTACTACTTGAGTGTTACATTTCTATATAGTACTAGAAATTTTTTAATTACCAATTACTTTACGGTATTATAATCATTTTTGTTTCCAATTTTTTTGCTGCACAATAATTTTTAATTTGTCTCTATAAATTCTTTTTTTTAAATTCCTCTTTTCAAATTCAGCTGTTTTTCTCATTTAATTGAACTGTAAATGTGAATTAAAAAGAATGATATTCTTTTTTTGTTGTTGTAAAATTATGCTATTATTTCAAATATGGTAGATTTGATTGTCATTCTTTATTTGGCAGTATAATTTGTCAAAAAACCGTTAATCAAAGTAAACACTGAAACTATAAAATTCTCATTACTTGAATATATTCGATAAAATTCTAATTTCAAATTGCAATCATTAACCCATTTATCTGAATTTCACTTTGTAGATGACATTCTTTATATTAATCAGTTAAACCTGAGAATACCTTTTGCAAAAGTGACTCGTTATAGTAGCGCGTTGTTTTAATGATTTTAGATTCCTATGTGTGTAAGTATAACTTTAAGAATGGCAACTTGAGAGCTAAGCGTGCAGACAAAAATTGAAAGGAACGTAAAAAAAGATGTGTAACGCAGAAAAGAGAACAGAGAGAAAGAGCATGAGGAAAAGAAAGAGAGAAAAGGAAAGAGATAAGATGTAAAAGAAGAAGAAGAAGAAGAAGAAGAGGATAAGAAGAAGAAGAGAGTGAGAGAGGTGACGACTCCTCGTGCAGGCTCAATGACCCGATTGAAGTAATTCGGAGCAGTGAGGGCGACGGCCACCTTTCTCCTTATGATCCACAATTCCTGAACCGATCAACGATCGCCATACAAGCGTGCTTACCTGGACAGCTCGTTGGACACAAGATTACTGTGTGGTGCAAAGATCGCCGGGTTCTTGTACATGCTACAAACAAGCCTCTCCCTACAATTCTCCTCGGCAAATCTCAATTGTCCAAAGATCTCGTCTAGCCGGCCAACAATTGGTCCATAAAACTCGTCGTCATAAACTGCACGTGAAACTCCCGGCACTTTAGCTACCTGGACCACTTTTTGACCTTGACCCACTCTCGTCTGTTGCACCTGTTGATTTTGCAATTGTTGCTGATGCATCTGTTGCAACTGCTGCTGTTGTTGCAATTGTTGCTGCTGCTGCTGTTGTAAATGTTGTTGCTGCTGTATTTGTTGCACCGGTTGAGCAAAGACATTGTAAGGATTTTTCTTGGTCACTTTAACTGTTGATGGCACAATGTTCGATTGTGGATTTTGGACAACTTGAATTGATGCTGGTGCTGATGGAGAATTTGCTGGTACTGATGAATAAACCGGTCCAATATTTGACGCCGATGGTACCGCATGTGCACGTTGTCTATTGCCTTTGATTTCATCAACATAACCAGAGTATGCGAGATTATGAGCTTGAGGTCGTGAATTTGCGGCGTATTGCGAACCATATGGTCCAGGATAGACAGGCGACAATGGTGTTGGATTAATTGGACCCAAATGTTGATTGACCTCTTCAATTGGCTCCTCATATGGTTCGATACCCCATTCCTTTAATTCCTCCATATCCTTGCGATATTGAATATGTGGATGGGCATAGTCATAACCATTAAATTCTTCCTCATGATGTGGTGGATGATGATCGACATAAATTGGACTCGCTGCTGGTACTGGAACTGGAACTGGCACATGATGATGATGATGAGCCACCTAAAATACAATTGGAAATATATATCATTAACTGCCAACTTTTGATAGAAATGTCAAAATAATAATTTAAGAATTTTTTTTTTGGGTCTAATTGGTGTAATTTATGTTTATGCTGTATCTGATTTTAATTAAGTTTCAATTAATTTAATGACATTCTTAATGATGACAATTTAAGAGAATTGATTTTAATCACTGTCGATGTAGGTGTTTGCATTTAAATAAATGAGTGTTCGTTAAAATTCTTGTTTTTCGTGAATTTTAAAATTCGGGTCAATTTTAGATAATGCGATTTATAATGATTTCAAAAATATATGAAGAGAAATTATGAAACGAAAGTTATTTTGAAATTGTTATTTAAATCTGAGTCAAATAGATATATGGGAAGTTAAAATATATTAATGAGAATTTCACTTATAAATTTTAAATATTACATATAATCATGCACGAAGTCAATAGTAACGTAAACAAGTTTCCAATTAATTTTATACAATAATTATATGAAAATTTTCGCAAATATATATGACTAATATTACCTCACGAATGACTAACTTATTAAACAGAGCATCCATTTCTATATAGTTATTTAACAACTTTGAATCGTACATATTTGCATTTTAAATTAATTATTCAAGTTCGTTAAATTTTATTTTTTCTTTCATATTTATTTTCAACATTAGAAAAAATTCTCTGTTTATGAAAAGTGTCAAAAAATTTTTTATTTTTGTCATCAATTTACAATTAATTGTTCTAAAAAAATGACAATCATTTGAAAATGATTTACCTACACACTTATTATGTATATTATACATTTTGTTTACTAATCGATTGAGCCTCGAGCGTTAAAATTTTTTTATTTTTAAATAAATATGTATGATTATTTGTGACCAATTGTATGCATTTAGTGAATACGAGGTTAAAATTATATTTAAGTGCAACAAAGCTTGTCCAATGCTTGAAACGCAACGATGCACTCTTGTATATTATTAAGCGATGAATGTTTAAATAGATTCAACTAATGTTCATCCAATTAAAAACAAAAGTACTTCATTTTTAATGAATAAAATTTTCGATTACTGTTAAAATATTCCAATATTTATTTATATATTTTATTATTATTGTTATTATTGTTCTAATTAATTTAACAATTAATCAAAATTTGAAAAAAATTTACTGCTTAGAAAAACAAAAATCGATTAAAAAAATTCGAGGTCACCTTTCTACTTTTTTTAAATGTGGATCAAACTTGAAAATCAAAAGTACGCGACTGAATTTGTAATGATATTCATTGCTTTGACCCTCTTTTTACCTGATGATGATGATGATGTTGTAGTTTTGAATAAGGACTGCTATAATAGCTCGAGCATAATTTAAATACATGAGCAAATGCTGGTACCAAAAACAGCAATAATTTTAGGAATAATTTTTTCGCCGTTCCCACTCCAAATAGGAAGGGAATGACAAACATGAATTTCAGTTTAATCAGCTTTATTATCAGTAGAAGGGCCAAGAAGCTCATCAACAATTTATTTTGTATTGCCTTTCCTGAAATAAAAAAAAAACCAATTTACTCATTAATTAAAAATATATACATACTTAAATGATTAAATGATAATAAATAAAAATAATCCTAAAAATAATTAATTAATTAAATGCAATAACAAAAGATGATCCTTACGGATTTTTTTGAAAAAAAGTCTTCCCTCATTTTTAATAGGTTTGGGTGCAAAATCAATTCTGACGAGTGCTCCATTTGCGTCAATTTCGCGAGGGCTAATTTTGAAATTAGCACCTTGAAAGAAAAATTCCGGAAGTTGTACATCATAATTTCGGGTTGCTAGAAATTTTACAGCTTTTTCACGAAGGGCATTTGTAATTTCTTCCAATGGTGTTGATGGTTCATTGTTAAAATCACGAGATTCCTCACGATTATCACAATTATTTTTTATTTTTCGTTTATCGAGATCATCATCATCAACATTCGAATTATCCACTAAATTTTCATTCACACTATCAACAACATTTGATTGACGTTGACAACTTTGATAATTCAATTGATTTTTCGTTAATATCAATCCATCGAAAACTGTAATATTATCACGTTCAGTGAATGTATTGTCAAGATATGTGTAAGCATTCTTTTGGATACAGGAGAAAGTTATCCTCTTTTTGCAATCTCTGATAAGTCCATGCCAGAATTCATTTCCGGTTTCATTAACCGGCAAATCGCGAGCATTAAAGAGCTTCGCATACGACTTGAGTTTCTCGAAACTGAAGAATTGGGAACTCGCGAACGTGACCGAGATACACACCAGTAAAAGGATGACGTTATGTTTGTACATTTTTGATTTTAATATTAAATTAGCGTTACTTTTTTATTTTTTTTTTTTTTAAATTTGAAAATTCAAATCAACATGTAATTTAATTGACTATAATTTTTTTAGTGATTTACTTAATATGTAAATGTTTGATTTTCATCACAATTATTAAATAAAGATATTTAATTTAAATTATTAAATAAAATTTAAATAACTAGACTAAATTTTTTGTTTTGTTGACCTAATTTACACCTAATTAAACTAAATTGAATTGGAGTCTGTGAGAGAGATATTTTTCTTTTCTAAATTCACATTATCTGAAATTTTTGAGATAATGCTAAAAAAAAAAATAATTGCAAGATCACGAATGTAGTTGAAGTTTTTGTCCTGATTTCCGGCTGATTTTATCCAACTTCATCTTCACGCTAAGTGGATCAGGAATGTAGTTTTCAACGTTACGCGTGATTGGTATTTTGTTTTGAATAATTTATTAAGTGCATCTTGCAATTTTTTGGTCACACACTTTGGAAATGGAACAATCATGTCAAAGGAATTATTAATTTCTTTTTTAAGGTGGGGGGGGGGAAGATCACGGAAAAATGACGTCAATATTTTTATAACACAAACACGTCACCGGAACGTCACCGGTTATACATTGTACGGAGATACGCTCTCGACGATATCTTCTTGAGAACTAAAGTCGTGGGGTCTTGAGAAGTTACAATTCACCTGGTGCGTCAAGTGTGTCAAAGAACCTCCTACTCCTTGAACGTTCAGCCAAGGAAGGTCATTACGATCTTCTTTTTCTTCTTTATTTTTTTGTCCTTTTTTCTTCTTCGTCTCCTTTTTTTTATTCTTCCTCTTCTTATATACATTCTTTTTACATTTTGATATTCCCTCTTTCTTTTCTTTCTTCCTCTGTTTCTTAAACTTTAGTCTTCTTATTCATTTCTTCCTGTTTTATAAGATTACGATATCTGAATTATACGTGCACATCCGGTGTATGGAACTTTATATTCTACAAAGTAAATGCTTATATTTATTACATTTTATTGATGAAGATCACTGAAAGATATGGGAGATTAGTTATTCTTTTACTTCTTCTTTTTAATCAAGACGTGTATAATTATAACGAGTTTCATTACCGGTGAATCTGATTCAACTTGTGACATTGATGAATACTGTATGTCTTTTTGGAATGTACGTTAAATTGTTTATTTTATTACTATACATTATGTCACTACTATTTTTTGTTTTTTCTAATTATTTTTTATTCTCATTTTTAATTTGCCTTAATTAATTATTAGTCTTATTTTTTAATTGTTTATTATTTGAATTTGTGTATTAATTTTAATATTAGGTATTTAAATTTATATTACTGTACATTTATTTAAAAAAAATACATTTATGAATTTATAAATAAAAAAATTCATAAAGTTAAACTAACTTTACATGCGAATAAACATCTATTTATTTGCTTTGGTATTTTAACACTGTAATTTCAAAAATCATTTTTTGTGGTCTATTTTATTATAAAATTTGATGTTCTCGGAGTCAACATTTTGAAAATTAATAATGTTCACGCTTGGAGAAATTTACAGGAAAAAAATAATTCTAAGAAAACGATTATTTTATTCAGTAATTTATAGTTTAAAATTTTAATTATTGTCAAGTATTTTTACGAAAGAATTTTACAGTATTCTTTACACTTCTTTCGAATGAATTCTTTTTTCTCGTAACAGGATGCTATATCTAAAATGTTTTTAGAAAATAATGAAATATAATTATACATGAAGTTAAAAGAAAACAAAAACGAAAATATTTTAATCTTATGCTGAAAATAAAAAAAAACATATATATTAGATATAAATAAAATTTATTGAATTAACAGTAAAAAAAAAAAATAAAGATATTAATTAATTACTAAATAGTAATATAATGAAAATGACAAGTAAACAAATTTTAATTAGTCAAGAAGTGATATAAAACAAGAAAAAAAATTGATGGCAAAAAATTTTCATTATTATTAAAAGAATCTTACACTTAAAAATATATTTTTCTCAATAGAAAATATTTACAACTAATATGCGTGTGTAATTTTTAACAAAAGAAATTACAACTTTAAGCATCTTTTCAGTAACTCAAAAGAAAATAATTGAATAACTGTGCAAAATGCGGTGTGAATTCCACAAAGATTTTATGTAACAAGGCATTATTTAATATTTGCATTTTTCAATTTATTTTACTTTTATTCACTTCTTTTTTCTCGATATTTCCACTTTTACACTTGTTGTGGTATATTTTTTTTACACCTAATAAAATAGAATTTACAAAACTGTAAAAAAAAGAATATGAATTAAATAAATTCAAACAAAATGAAGTATCTAAAATAAGTAATAGAAACATATAATGGTAAAAATTAATAATTAATTAAATATTTTTTTTTGAATACAGTATTAATAATAAAAAAAAACCAATGTGTTGATTGATGCAACAATATAATTTTCTTTGCTTCAATTAAAAATTATAATCAAATAATCGAATTATTTTCTTTTTAAATTAAATAATTTTCAAGTAATTGACCTTTTAATAATCGTGACCCACATGCATTTGAGATGAAAGATTTTTTTCACCGTTGCTTTCATATATTCTATATGAGTCAAGCACCTACTGTAGGTAAATTAAACTAGAATGTAATCGCGGAAAATACTAGTTTTTAGTGTAATTACGCGATACCAGTTTTGCGTGCTATAACGATTGAGCTTGAACGAAGATTGAGTTACGCGAGTCATCCTTCATGTATATATATATATATAGTAACGAGATTTCTCAAGTAAATAATTTTGTCATGAACTTTGATAAGTCTCTTTCACTGGATTGCGTGACTAGATCTTGAACTTAACTCGTGTCTGAAATCATCATATTGTCATTGACACTGAAAAAGCAGTACTATATAATTGCCGTTCATTGACGTGATTCATTTACAGTTTACTTGTTGTCATTTGTCTCTATGCAATTATAATTCACATCCGTCTACAAGTATTATTTATCTGGAATAATTAACTGGTATAATGAATTTTTTTACTATGCGCTGCATAATTAATAGTGTCAACTTTAGTAATCAGTAGTAATCAACTACAGTGTAATTGTTCAGTTATTGCTTCATTTCATTTTCATTTGTTAATTTGTCAGATAATAATTATTTCGTTTTATTTAATGAAAATTAAATATTATTGTTTTGTTGTTCTTTTGGTAATTTATTATTATTATTTTATTTTTTTACTCCATTATTATTCCAGCTTATTACTATAAATATACAATTATTTTTCTCTTTTTATTTTAATTTATTTTTATACCTGTAAATTATTTACTACAATTATGTAAGATTATTTCGATCTCTTTGCAATAAGAGCATTACAATATTTTCCAGACGTCTCATCATTTGCATTAATTGACTATTCAAGTGTGCTAAATGTTTACCAAAAAAAAAAAAAAAATTGTTATTTGTATGAAAATTGAGGTGACGATTGGAAAGTGCTTTTACCTGTTTAACAAAACACATAACGGTATTGAAAAGCAATGTTGTAATTTTTTTCACCTGTCTAAGTCAAAGCAAGGCTTGACTTTAAAATATTTTTCTTGTCCCAAAGTCTATATACAAAAAGTCAATATATACGAAAATAAGATTCATTTCGTCAAATTTAAAAAAATTTAATATTAAATATATTTTGTTAATAATATAAATGTTTTAAATAAATAAATATTCAATTTAAAAAATTAATTAATAATTAAATTAAATGTTTAATAAAGAATATTTGAATAAATTAAAGATGTAAAATTATTTTAATAAGTATAACAAATTAATTTCAAGGAAATGATTTTGAACAAGCAATTATGTTTGATTCACTTTCATACTTCTTCAATCGCACGACATCGCGAAACAAGAATCACAAATGTGAAAGTGTTTTAAACTGTCAATAAATAGTAAATTAAACTTTTTTCACTATCTTATTATACATATATAATTAATGAGTATATTTGAATAGTACCAATAATAAAAATAAAAATTTCTTATTATTAAAATAAATGTATCTACAAAAATATAAATGTTAAACTAGAATATTTTCTAAATAATTGAAAAAAAGTACAAAAAAAATTTTTCATCTTGTTAGTAAAAATACAATCACAATATTAATGACTAATTAAATCAAATTACCGTTTATTACAACAATAGAATTGTTTTGAAAAAAATTCATGGGATTTCTCTGTTTGATAGATATTCATCGTGAGATACAGAAAATTCTCAAATTTAGATTTGTTAAGTTTCTCTCATAGTTTAATTGTAAATAAAGTATTAAGTGAAATATATTTTCTATTAAGGTAAAAAATAATAAAAAACAAAAAAATTTAATTAATTAAATATTAATTATCTGTAAAAAGAAAAATATCGTCTAAAAAATAAACACTTTAGGGACCAATCATTAATTTCGTAAGGGTCCTTTTAATTACATTAAGATTGTTAAAAACTTACGTAAGAAGGTGGAAGGGGGTCCGAAATATCTTATGTGTCCTTACATGGGGGTAAGGGGGGTCAAAATCGTCCTTACGTAATTAATGAATGGCCCCTTACATCCAATGGACAAAATTGATTGTTTTCTTCCCTAGAGTCAAAACGATCATTTTTCCACTCTAAGGAGTGATACGATAGTGATACAATAAAGTAACGATAATTGATTATCCTGTAACTAATTAATTTTAATAAGAAAATGAGCATTAAATCATTACCTCATTATAGTTACTGACTACGTGACATTCATCTCGTTCTCTTCTTTCAAAATTCCATTTATATTTTTCCCAAACAAACAGAAGGGAATAATAGTATCTTAGAAATAGACGTTCACTTGTTGAGAGTCAATCGACTTTGGCGGGCCAACTTATTGTTTACGTGGAGAACTTGAATTTCATTGACTTGAAGGTAGGTTGGTAGGTTGAACGTGTTGGGTCACATCGTTGTCTGAAAGCGATCTCATATCCGCGATATACACTCATTCAAATTCAAGAAGTTATTTCACTTGTCAATCTACGAGATTGCTAACGTGAAGTTGCAATTATTACAATTCACGTTAATTTTTGTAAATCATATTCGACATTTAAAATTTTTTCTTCTACTATGTGATTGTATTTTAAAGAAAATTATTTCAGTAATTATTTTCATAATGTCACGTCACCGTAACCTTAACCATTCATATTATAAGAATCCTTTTCCATAATCAATACCGAGTTGTGTTTCCCTGCGACAAACACTCGTGCTTTTGTTACGCATCTAAACACCTTTCTCTTAAATGTAAAACTTCCGCCTCTTTGTCGCGCAACTAAACATCTTTTCTTTTACATACCTATAAAAGACTCCTGCGTTTTTTTATCCTACGTTCATATACTGTATTTCTAAAAATATACAAATAGAAGCGAGAAACCTTTTATTACCCTAAAAGGTCATAAACGAGTGTTTCTTTTCTACAGCTACGATTGGGAAACAAAAATGTTCTCTTTCTATTTTTCTATAATACTCATGTAATAAAATCAGACGAACCCCTCTAGTGTCCCGAGTCGAAATTTAGACTCTCTATAAGTTCTCTAAAAACTTGCTTTTATCCTCCTTTTATTCTCTCCAACACTTTCATACCCTCTTTTCGACCTCC